GGGGTGGGGAGTGTGATTGGGGGTTGGGAGAATGTGATTGGGGTGTGGGTGTGTGAATGCGGGTGGGGAATAATTGGGGGTTGGGAGAGTGTGAATGGGGGGATGAGAGAGAGTGATTAGGGGAGTGACAATGTTATTAGGGGCAGGGGAGTGTGATTAGAAGGTGGGAGAGTGTAATTGTTCACCATCACACTCTCTGAGTTTGCACAGCATCAGGGAGGGGAGGAGGGCTCTCTGGCCCCGGCAGATACCCTCTTGGCAAGACAGCAAGGGAGCAAGGTACAAATGTGGACGTGTGAGACCATCATGTGGCCTCTGCAGGAGAGGCCCATCAGTGGCGTTGCTTCCTTCCCATCTTTCGGTGACATCTGTACAGCCCCCCATGGAATCTCCCGGGGCTCATGCCTTTTGACAGTTCTAGTACACAAAGCTGTCTCCACCTTTACTTCCTCTTCTATAATAAACAGCCAACGAGCAACATGGCAAACCCCATCTCTACAAAAAATACAAAAATTCCCCAGCCAGGCGTGGTGGCGCGTGCCTGTGTTCCCAGCTGCTCACAGGGCTAAAGCAGGAGGGTCGCTTGAGCCCAGGAGGTCGAGGCTGAGTGAGCCATGGTCGCTCACTGCACTCCAACCTGGGTGACAGTGAGACCCTGTCTCTGTTTTTATAGAAGAGAGGTGGGACGAAAGGGATCTCCTGCTCCAGACCCGGTGTGTCTCCCTCAGCATCAGCATGGTCTCAGGTCATACCTAGGAACCCTGTCTGAGGGAGTCCTTGTGGCCGTGCTGGCTGGGCAGTGGCAGGTGGATGTGGGGAGGAGCAGGAGGTGGACCCCTGCAAGGCCCCGCCCCTGGAGGTAGGTGAGGCCACACCCCCTTCCCTCGTTGGTCTGCTGGCCTGGCCTCCCTCCCAAGGAGCAGGAGGAGGCTCAGTAACCTGTCTGCAAACCGGTAAGGCTTGGAAGTTGATTTCTGGTTTTCAAGCGGGAGGGAGGAACAGCAGAATCTGTGCAGGAATTTTCAGAAACAAGGAGGAACCTATGTCTGTTGCAGCTAGAATCAGGCAGCTACCTGCAGGTGCCCACACCCTCTGCAGGCAGGTTAGGGGAGAATTCTGTTTTTCTGCATCTCACAGGAGCACCACGTGGCCCCCATCCAACCTCCGATGCTTGCAGCTCAGGGACCTTTGAGATGAGGTGCTCATGCGGCCTCATCCTCCGCCTCATTTGTGCATGCTGCCGGCATCCCCCTTCCAGCACCCCACCATTTCTCCCCTCCGCCATCCACGCTCTCGCTGAGATGATGACAGTGACCCTCACCCACAGGGAACCTGCCCCGCACTTCTCTCCCACCTTCCCCCTTCACCCTCTGGAAACTGACCTCCGCCTGCCCGCGTCTTTGCTTTCAGGTGCAGCCAAAATTCCGTTACCCCTTCTACTATGAGATGTGCTGGTATGTCCTGGAGAGATACGTGTACTGTGTGACCCAGCGCTCCCACCTCACTCAGGAATACCAGAGGGAGTCGATGCTTATTGGTGAGTGAACTGCAGGGAGCCCCCGGATTCGGCTGCACAGCTGGGGCAGAAACCGTTTTCTCAGTGGGGCCTGGAGACACTCCCTGGGTTCTTGGGATTCACTGGATCAGTGTATTGAGCAGAATCCTAGGGACCCCTCAGGAGAAGCCATTCTTGTCAGTTTCCCACCTGGAATACAGACTCCAAGAAAATGAACTCGTGTCCCCAAAAGAGTCATGTGTGTGGCCTCCAGCCCATGGTTGTGCAGGTGCAGGTAGGGGCCGCCCCGGCATGGCCGCTGAAGCAGGATCACCCCACAGAGCAGAGATGCCTCATTCTTTTGGTTCTTCCGTAGACACTGATTTTTTTCCCCTGCACTGGAGGCTGGGTTTTTATCTATGTAGGAGCCAGCCTGTGAGATACCCCCGAAAACCCAAGGCTGTCTTTGAGGCAGCGGGAGGGGTGACCAGGGTGGGTGGTGCAGGCCTGGAGGAGCAGGAGAGAGTGTTTGGAGCCACTACAGCACCCTGCTCTGCTGCCAGTACTTAAAGGGACACCATCACCCCCAGTACGGCTCTGCCCTTGAATCTGGACTCACAGATGCCTGCCCTGAAGTTGCATCTGGCTGTGACAGCAAGCCCCGACCAGCAATCTAGAGGAAGAACGTGATTCCTCTTAGCTGTGTCTGAGCGGTTGTTGTACGAGGGTTTTCCTGGATGATGTAGAATCTGCAGCATCTCAGATTCAGCATCTTCTTCTTTTTTTTTTTTTTTTACGAGGGGGTAGAAAGATGAGATTGGTCAGTCTCCTTGAGGGTCTGCACAATATTCTCTGCAGCCTCTAGGATTTTTAGGTTCTTCTTTTATTCCCCCTTTACAGTAAGCCTCTTCCGCTCCTTCCCTTGTGTCCCATTGTTAATGATATACAAGGGTTCCAGGCTGGGCATGTGACGGGGAACCAGTGTTTCTGCTGGGGTCCTCATTGGGAAGTCTTTGCCTGTGAGGTCTGTCACGAGCCTCATTCCCACCCGATGATGCGATATTCAGGAGTTGGAAAGTCCCAAAACCTTACAACCTGCCAAAACCTTACAACCTGCCCTTCTGGAGCTCCCAGCCTGGTAGGAGAGAAGGAAAATGATCCTGAAATAGCGTGAGAGCCACTGTGATTGCAGTAACTCCACAATCCCCCGGGGACAGAGGCTGGGGAGAGCGAGAGGCTTTCTGAGTGTCTGTAGTTCCCAGGCCAGGAAGCTAAGGGCTGGCTCTGTCACTTGGGTATTTAGGGCAGAAGAAGAACATGCCATTCATAGGCACAGGAAGAAATCCCGCAGTGGTGCTTGGATAACCAGTACCCACATCTTCCTTAGGTTTTCTTGCCACTGCTTTCCCTCTGGCTCTCCCAGTCCATCTGCCAATGAGAAGGGGTGACATGAGGGAGACATCCCCTCCATGCAGAGCTGCTGTGTGCCAGCGCCTGTGCCCGGGGATGCCTGTGTATTCTGCACCACGGCCTTCTGAGGATGTTTACTTTGCCTTATATTTTTTAAACAGCTCTGTTGGGATATAGTTCCTGCGTCACAAAATTCACCATTTAAAGTGTAGAATCCAGTGGTTTTTAGTCTATTCACAGATCCGTGTGGCCACTGCTGCAGTCAGTTTTACATTTTCATCACCTCAAAAAGAAACCCAGGGTAGGGTGCGGTGGCTCACACCTGTAATCCCAGCGCTTTGGGAGCCTGAGGCCGGTGGATCACTTGAGGTCAGGAGTTCAAGACCAGCCTGGCCAACATGGTGAAACCTCATCTCTACTAAAAATCCGAAATTAGCTGGGTGTGGTGGCACATACCTGTAATCCCAGCTACTTGGGAGGCTGAGGCAGGAGAATCTCTTGAACCTGAGAGGTGGAGGTTGTAGTGAGCCGAGATTGTGCCATTGCACTCTAGCCTGGACAACAAAGTGAGACTTTGTCTCAAAAAAAAAAAAAAAAAAAAAAAAAATCCAGCTAGGTGCCATGGCTGTCACTGTCACTTCATCAAAGTAATCTCAGCACTTTGGGAGGCCGAGGCGGGCAGATCACCTGAGATCAGGAGTTTGAGACCAGCCTAGCTAACATGGTGAAACCCCATTTCTACTAAAAATACAAAAAATTAGCCAGGCCTGGTGACGTGCGCCTGTAATCCCAGCTACGCGGGAGGCTGACGCAGGAGAATCACTTGGACCTGGGGGGTGGAGGTTGCAGTGAGCCAAGATTGCGCCATTGTACTCCAACTTAGCCATCAAGAGCAAAAGTCCGTCTCAAAAAAAAAAAAGATTCTATCACTTTGGGAGGCTGAGGTGGGTGAGGTGGGTGGACCGGAGACCGGCCTGACCAACATGGTGAAACCCCGTCTCTACTAAAAAATACAAAAATTAGCCAGGCACAGTGGTGCACATCTGTGATCCCAGCTACTTGGGAGGCTGAGGCAGGAGAATCCCTTGAACCCGAGAGGCGGAGGTTGTAGTGAGCCAAGATCGTACCGCTGCACTCCAGCCTGGGCAATGGAGCGAGGCTCGGGTTCAAAAAGAAAGAAAGAAAGAAACTGTTATCCTTTAGCTGTCGTTTTCTTGTCTACTCAGCCCCTTCTTCCCCAGCCCTAGGCAACTACACACATCCCCTGCTCGGGACATTCCACTTCCTCCCCAGCCCTAGGCAACTACACACATCCCCTGCTCGGGACATTTCACTTCTTCCCCAGCCCTAGGCAACTACACACATCCCCTGCTCGGGACATTCCACTTGAGGTGAATCATATAATGGTTGCTCTTTTAGCTTATTTTGATTTTAGTATTATTATTTTTTGAGATAAGGCCTTGCTCTCTTGCCCAGGTTGGAGTGCAGTGGTGCACATTCATGGCTCACTGCAGCCTCCACCTCCCGGGCTCAAGTGATCTGTCTCAGCCTCCCGTGTAGCTGGGACCGCACCTGCACATCACCACACCCAGCTAATTTTTGCATTTTTTTGTAGAGATGGGGGTTTCGCCATGTTTCTTAGGCTGGTCTCAAACTCCTGGGCTCAAGCAATCCACCCGCTTAGGCCTCCCAAAGCATAGGGATTACACGCATGAGCCACTGCACCCAGCCTTGACTTATTTTTAGACATTAAAACGTTGGCCAGGTATGGTGGCTCACGCCCATAATCCCAGCACTTTGGGAGGCCAAGGTGGGCGGATTATGAGGTCAGGAGTTCAAGATCAGTCTGGCTAATATGGTGAAACCCAGTCTCTACTAAAAATACAAAAATTGGTGTGGTGGCACATGCCCATAATCCCAGCTACTCAAGAGGCTGAGACAGGAGAATCGCTTAAACCCAGGGGCGAGGGGCACGGGGTTTACCACTGTACTCCAGCCTGGGTAACAGAGCAAGACTCTGTCTCAAAAAAAGAAAAAGTTAAGTGTCAGTAACCAGCTTGGGCAATATAGTGAGACGTCATCTCTACAAAAAAAGCTTCAATAAACTCACTGAGTAGAGTGGGTCCACCAGTGGGAGGATCACTCGAACCCAGGAGGCAGAGGTTGCAGCGAGCTGAGATTGTGTCCTACAGTCCAGCCTTGGCTACTAAGCGAGACCATCTTTATGTAAATAAATAAAGTGCCAGTGTTGAGAGACGAGGCAGCCCGTGTGGGTGCACACAGCCGGGAAGCAGCAGGGTGGGGATCTGAACCTGTGTCCACCACCGCCTTTCCAGAGGCTGGAGGCACTCTGACTGTTAGGATTGTCAGAGAAGCTTGATCTCTGGAGTAAAGGGGACTTGGGGCGAGTAGAGGTTCCGGGGACTTGGGGCGAGTAGAGGTTCCAGAGACTTTGCAGGGAGTTAGGGATCATTTCGGTCTTTCATGTCACCCTGCCCCCACAGATGCCCCGAGGAAGCCCAGCATAGACGGTTTCTCTTCGGATTCCTGGCTGGAGATGGAGGAAGAGGCCTGTGATCAGCAGCCTCAGGAGGAGGAGGAGAAGGATGAGGAGGGCGAGGGCAGAGACAGGACGCCCAAGCCACCCACCGAGGGTTCTGCCTCACCCACCAGCACACCCTCTGAGGACCAGGAGGCCCCCGGGAAGAAGCCCAAAGCGCCTGCCCTGCGGTTCCTCAAAAGGACTTTGTCCAACGAGTCAGAGGAGAGTGTCAAGTCCACCACGCTGCCCGTGGACTACCCCAAGACGCCCACTGGCTCTCCTGCCGCGGAGGCTGCTGCCAAATGGACCCATCTCACCGAGTTTGAACTGAAGGGCCTGAAAGCTCTGGTGGAGAAACTGGAATCCCTCCCAGAGAACAAGAAGTGTGTCCCCGAGGGCATCGAGGACCCCCAGGCACTCCTGGAGGGTGTGAAGGTGGGCAGGAATGGCATCTGGGGCTGGGCGGCTGAGGAGGGCCGGGCAGGTCCTGTGTTCAGTGTGACACGTGCAACTCAGCTCAGGGTGGCTCTGTGCAGATTACTCTGCACAGGCATCCAGGCGGGTGATGGGAGGTGGCTCCTGGGGGCCTTGGTCCATGAAAGCCTAGGTAGGGTGTCCAAGCAGAAGCCACCATTAAGAGCTGCAGAGGGCCGGGCGTGGTGACTCACACCTGTAATCCCAACACGTTGGGAGGCTAAGGTGGGCAGATCACTTGAAATTCAGGAGTACAAGACCAGCCTGGCCAACATGGTGAAACCCCATCACTACTAAAAAAAAAAAAAAAAAAAAATTAGCTGGGTATGGTGGCACACACACATAAACCTGTGTAGTCCCAGCTACTCAGGAGGCTGAAGCAGGAGAATCACTTTAACCTGGGAGGCAGAGGTTGCAGTGAGCCGAGATTGCACCACTGCACTCCAGCCTGGCGACAGAGCGAGACTCAAGAAAAAGAGCTGCAGAGGACCCCTTTTGGAAGCTCACTCTGTGGCCGACAAGCTTTTTTTCTTAGCACTTGTGGGAAAGCTGAGGCCCCACCAGCAGGTATGACGTGTGCAGCAGTTGCTGTCACGGGGTTCGAGAGATGGACCCCTCCCTCCTTTCGAGGAAGCCTTGCTGTCCTGGGCCAGCGTTCATGGAGTATGCATCAGTTTCACATGAGCAGGTTGTACAGCCCCGCAGTCCTTGACCTGGCCAGCCAATGCGGGCACCACGTAGCTTCGTGCCATTTGGAGGTCTTCATTACAATGTGCATTGAATGGATGAGGAAGTGGAATGAGAAGGGTAAGGGGCATGCCTGAGGTCACACAGCAGGTGGATGGTGGAGCTGGGATGAGGACCCAGGGATGACTGCAGAGCTCCTGTGTGTCTGCCATTGCATGGAATTGCCTCTTGTCTCAGCATTAGTAAGGCGTTTTGGTTGAGGCCTCAGGCATTTGGGCTACCTTCTCCAATGTCTGATGCCCCAGGGAAGCCAGCTAGCTGCCTCCTGGGGTTGGAAACTGAATTTAAGTTTCTTCTTCAGCTGCAAAGTACTCAGGATTGGTAGTTCACTTGTTGACTGTATTCATGTAGGAAACATTGTGTTGGGCCTGGGGTACAGCTATGTCAAACTTCACTGGGTTCAGTCCGGGCACGATGGCTCATGCCTATAATCCCAGCACTTTGGGAGGCTGAGGTGGACGGATCATTTGAGGCCAGGAGTTTTGAGCCCAGCCTGGTCAACACAGGGAGACCCCATCTCTACAAAAAAATACAATATTTTAGCCAGGCGTGATGGCATGTGCCTGTAGACCCAGCCATTCAGGAGGTCACTGCTGTAGTGAGCCATGATCTTACACTGCACTCCAGTCTGCGCAACAGAGCAAGACTCTGCCTGAAAAAAACCCCAAAGCAAGTATACTGATCTGAAGAAGAAATGGCTTTCCATGCTTTTGGAAAGTCTTTTTTTACTTTAATTAATTAATTAATTAATTTTTGAGACGGAGTCTTGCTCTGTCACCAGGCTGGAGTGCAGTGGAGAGATCTTGGCTCACTGCAACCTCCGACTCCCGGGTTCAGGCGATTCTCCGGCCTCAGCCTCCCGAGTAGCTGGGATTACAGGCATGCGTCATCATACCCAGCCAATTTTTGTACTTTTAGTAGAGACAGGGTTTCATCAGGTTGGCCAGGATGGTTTCGATCTCTTGACCTTGTGATTTGCTCACCTCGGCCCCCCAAAATGCTGGGATTACAGGTGTTAGCCACCCTACCCGGCCTTATTTTTTTATTTCGTACCATCGAGACAGAGTGTTACTCTGCTGCGTAGGCTGGAGTATGGTGGCGTGAGCTTGGCTCACTGCAGCCTCCCAAGTAGCCGGGACTACAGGTGCATGCCACCACACCTGGCCGATTTTTAATTTGTAGAAATGGGATCTCACTACGTTGCCCAGGCTGGTCTCAAACTACTGGGCTCAAGCGATTCTCCCCCCGCAGTTTCCCAAGATGCTGGGGTTACAGGCATGAGCCACTGTGCCTGGCCTAGGCTATTTTTTCCTTTAAAAGCGTCTTTGTGTCTCTGATCTATTTCTGTTTGGTGTTGCTGGTTCTGGGAACAGATGTCCTCCTAGGGATGAAATTCGGCTCCTCCTGTCCCTCACCTCTACCTACCTGATTGGCCTGAGGCTAGACTTGTTCTAGACCCTTTGATGATGTGGAGGAGGCCTGGGGTAGCAGTTTAGACAAAGTGCAAGCAGCCCAGACCTCCTCCTGCCCCTCAGGGGGATCATGGGCAGCTTGTGAAAATATGAAATGATGCATCTTCATGACTTGGTGCTACTGGGGGTGTTTTCCTTGCAGAAACTCATTTTAACCTTCCAACAGTTCTTTGCAATACTTTTACTATCCCTATTTTACGGGTGAGTAAATTGAAGTACCGAGAGGTTACGTAACTTGCTCTGGGGTATGACTGCTGGGCAGTGGGAGGGTCTGTGTGCCGCTTTTTTGGTGGCTGTAGAGAAAGTGATTTTCTTCCATCTCAAGAGGCCGTCCCAAATTTAGTCAGAAGATATGGAGGTGATTGCATGCATTTTATTTACAAATCATGCCGCTGGGATGAAGGGCACAAATCCCCAGCCTGCAGGCATCACATTCGGCCTGCATAGCATTAAATGGATTTTGGTAATTAGTTTCCAACATTAAACAAATCTGGAGCCTCTTATAAAATATCCTGGCTTGGCCAGGCACGGTGTTTCCTGTCCATAATGCCAGCACTTATATTACATTTACTTACATTACATTTGGGAAGCTGAGGCGGGCGGATCAGTTGAGGTCAGGAGTTTGACTCCATCTCTACCAAAAAACACAAAAATCAGCCAGGTTTAATGGTGGACGCCTGTCATCTCAGCTACTTGGGAGGCTGAAGTGGGAGAATCACTTGAACCTGAGAGGCAGAGGTTGCATTGAGCTGAGATTGCACCACTGCACTTCAGCCTGGGCAATACAGTGAGACCCTGTCTCAAAAAAATAAATAAACAAAAATGAATAAAATAAAATATCCTAGGTTTCGTGGCTCACGTTCCTGAATGGCTACAATCAGCAGGAAGTAATTAACAGCTGACCCCTTATGCTCCAGTCCCCACCACTAAACTCCCATGTGTCACTAAATTTTTTTTTTTTTTTTTTTGATTCTGGGTCTTGGGGGGTTTTCCTTCCTGGTTCAGGTGTGATCTTGGCTCATTGCAACCTCTGCCTCCTGGGTTGAAGTGATTCTTTTGCCTCAGCCTCCCCAGTAGCTGGGATTACAGGCACATGCCACCACACCCGGCTAATTTTTGTATTTTAGTTGAGGCAGGATTTTGCCATGTTGGCCAGGCTGGTCTCGAACACCTGGCCTCAAGTGATCTGCCTGTCTCGGCCTCCCAAAGTGCTGGGATTACAAGTGTCCACCAGTCTGTGTCCAGGTGTTGTTTGAAGACCAAAAGTTCTGGATCAGACTGAATCCCTGTGCCATCCGTTAGCCAGCTGAATGCCCTTGGGGAATGCAGTAAAAAGGAGTGGTTGGAGTACAGCATGGTGTTCATGAGGACTCAGTGAGCTGACACCTTAGCACAGAGCCTTTAAGAGCTCAGTAAACTAGAGCCAAAAATTTCAGACACCATAGGATGAAAACAGGCCAGTGCAGGGTCAAATGTGCGAGCCTGTGAATCCCATGACCGTGGAAGGTATGAACTGCTTTTTTCTCTTGGGGCCGTCAATTCCCCACCACGGAACACACTTGCTCGTTGACATGGTCTCTCCTGGGTCTTACTGACTTGTAGGACAGCGAGGTGTAAAGCCCGGATTACCAGCACGGTTGGCTTTTTAAAATTATCACGCTCTCAGCCGGGCGCGGTGGCTCACCAGCACTTTGGGAAGCTGAGGCAGGCGGATCACAAGGTCAGGAGTTCGAGACCAGCCTGGTCAACATGGTGAACCACATCTCTACTAAAAATACAAAAAAGTTATCTGGGTGTGGTGGTGTGGGCCTATAATCCCAGCTACTTGGAAGGCTGGGGCAGGGGAATCGCTTGAACCCTGGAGGCAGAGGTTGCAGTGACCTGAGATTGTGCCACTGGCCTCCAACCTGGGCGACAAAGTGAGACTCCATCTCAAAAAAAAAAAAAAATCAAATCACCACATTCTCTCCTGCTTCAGAGAATCCAAAAGGCGGGAAGCCAGGGGCAGGGCTACAGCCTGGTCATACCCTGAACATGACCCGAGCACGGAGCAGGGCCTGATTCAGCCCAGCCAAAGGGGCCAGGCCTCCAGCTAGGACTGAGGCTCCTGCTGGAGGCCAGGTTAATGCTGAGCCTTGAGGCTGGTGAGATTGTTGGGCAATGGGGAGAGAGAAGGTTGCAGCAAGGGCCTCTGGCCTAAGGAGCTCCCAGCGTTAGACCAACACAAGCCATGTATTCTTGTGTCTCCTGCTCATATCACATCAGGAGAACTTGGGAGAGCAGAGAGGGACCAGGCAGCTCAGCTCTGGACATCTGGGCAAACCCTACACCTGAAAACTGGGCAGGCTGAGGCATGCCACTTAGCGCTTTTCATGGCCTAAGATTACATTTTGATCTCCTGAACCACATCTGTTATCCATGCTAGCTATGCAGCTAAATCACATTCTAAGCTTCCCTTCCAAGTAAATAAAATTTTAAGTTTTCCATGGCTTAGAACTTGTTAAATGCATGCATTCTGTAAACAGGATGGGGGCAGTGCATCCTAACAGGAGATGAGGCATGAGGCAGGAGGGAACTGATCAACGTGTGTGGGGCATTTACCGTGGGCCACGCCCCCTTCTGGCATCAGGGTACTCACCACAACCTGGCAAGTTGGGGAGTGTTCTTATCCATGATGATGATGATGATTATTATTATTTTGAGACGGAGTCTCGCACTGTTGCCCAGGCTAGAGTACAGTGA